GCTTTACTTTAGTAGGAGGAACATGTTCACTAAACCAAAGGAAAAACGCCCAGAAAAACTACAAACTGTTTTCTTCTTTTGTCTTTCCTGTATAGTAGCTTTTTAGTCTGTAATCTTAAGGAAGTCTTTAAACATCTTGCTCTGTGATAAAGCTAAAGAGGCTAGAATTGAGATTTGCCACTGCAGAACATGATACTCTCCCTCCTAATGGTGCGTTCTCCAGGTGGTCTTTAATGGGACACCCTGGAGGAGCTAATGGCACCAGCTTATTTACATTGCCTTTGAATCAGGTAAGGGGATGTAAAGCAGCAATGTAACTTTACAATGAAAATCTGAACGGAAATAAACACTATGGTATGTAGTATTTGAAAGCAGATGCCACTGAGATTCAGACTGGAATGATTACAGGCTTTTGAAATGTATTTATGGCTACATACACTTGATGCGGAAAGATGCAACAGCTCATATTTTAAAATTTAGATATAAAAAATAAAAAAATTGGAAACTTACTTACCCACCAGCTGCAGTGTAGGAAGCAATTTGCTTCCTGGAATTGAGATTGAGGATAAGCCCCAATACTACTATTATACTTTCCAATAGCAACCATAGGGACAAAACAATAAACTGATTTTAAAGATGAGTGTTCTGTGTTGTTTTTACTTTGGTATCATGAAAGCTTTACACCTATCGGTAAAGACCATCATTAAAAAAGATCAGCTAAAGCATTAATTGTGTAAGAGCAAAATATGAGGTGTGTGTCAGCATTTTGTCAGAGCTTTAGTTACATATTTGTAAATTGCGTTTTTTACTCTGATCTTAAAGAGTACATCAAACCTGTCTCTCAGATTACACACAAGGGCATGCACCCTTATGCCTTATTTTAATCAACTGGATCATTTCCACCCAGGTCTGTCTGAAAAGTATAGTGTTCAAAGGAAAAAATCCACAGATTTTATAGACTTGAAAAAGAACAAAAACTTTCCATCAGTGTCTAGACAAGAAGCTGCACCTCGACCTCACATGCTGGGGATGAAAATCTACACATAAAAGCTGTGAAAAGTAACTAATCACAGGAAAAATAATGAAAACTCACAATCTGCAAAGGACCCGAGTCTGTGAGAAACAAAGCCTCATCTGCAACAGTGCTTATGGCAACATCTAATTAAATCTACACTAGTATTTAGTAGTAAGGTACATGAGACAAATGTCAATTGGCCTGTGGTGCTTCAGAAAGTAGCACCTGAGGGCTGCAGAGGCACTAAGCAGCTTATCTCTCTAAACTTGCATAGACCCAGTTCTGTGCATTTTCAGTGCAAAGGCTGGTTAAGAAGGCCTGAACAGTAAAGTGTGAATAGCACTGTGGAGAACCTCAGCTTACAGGGGATGTTGCATCACCTTTGTGTCCTGCTAGATCACAGGGGGTTAAAATAAACATACTGCTCCTGTCCAAAGTGATAAAAGAAACGTAGACAGAAACTCAGAAATCTGTAACATGCTACTAGTTAGAAAATTCATGCAGAAGATAAGGCTGCTATAGATGGGTGTATTTTGATGTGTACCATTTGCCTCTGGCCTTTCATCCCTTGAATAACATCCTTACACCTTACCTTAGGACCGGCAGAAAAGGGTAGTGGCAAGGCTGGAACCATCATGATTCCAGACAGCAAGGTTTTACCCCTGACCATCAGACATCATCTTGCACCACACTGTTAAGGGAAAACAAATGCAACATTAGAGGCTGTGTTGTGAAAAGCTGGAGCTCCCCAAGACTGGAGTTGGCAGGGCTTATCTGATAGTCTTGAAGAGAAATGGAAAGAAGTAAATAAGACTACACTTACCTCAACTCTGTAGTTATTGTATGGCATTGAACCATCTATAAAGAAAGTGATACAAGCAACTTGCAAAGTATAGAGACTAACTCCATCTTCCAAAACACACCTGAGTGCAATCAGAATTTGCATTTATGGGAGGCCACAAAAACCGTAGAAAATGTAGAAATAAAAATGGATACATGCTAAAATGTCTAACTGCTATATGTAAACAGTATACTGTCAGGTCAGTCAGGTAGTATTTTTAAGGTATGAAATAGTACATGAATGTGCACACTACTTTTAATGAATAAATAGAGTTTCTCTGAGTAAGTATATACAAAAGAAAGCCACATGCAAGAAAATAAAAGCAATAGCCTCTTTTAGTGGACAAAACCAACAGTGGATTCTTCAAATAAAAACCTACTTAAGACATATTTTGGGGGAAAAAAGCCTAAACAAATCTGGCAATAGGGCACTTGATTCCAGCAGTTTTTATCAAACCAATAAAACAAGAATAATGAAGTAGAATGAATACAGTAAGTATAGTAAGTGTCTGGCAAATGCTTGCTTGTCTCTATTTTTTTTAAAAACAAAGAAACCAAACAAAAGAGAAAACAAATTTTCCTGGAACTCTATTTTGCTGTTTAAAGAACTCTGTTCTTGATAAGGCAGCCAATGCTACTCCTAAAGGATCACTATGATAACACTGAGTTTTCCTTGGTGTCACATTTACATTGATGCAAATAATCCTCACATACTAGATGAGATAATGAAATCAATTACCTGACTTGTTATCCTGATGCTGATTTACAAGCTGGTTTGAAAAAACTTTAGTGGATTTATTGAGAAGATAAAAGTGTATGTAAAAGTCAAACCCGCTATATATGAGCAAAGTGATATGTGAACAAACACTGTACATAAAAAATTATTAATCAAGTGTCGAGGTGTCTCTTGACAACCTCTATCTTGACTGAAAAAGTGTCTACCACAAACATTTAGACTTGGAAGATCAACAGGCTAATCTGACATAGAGTTGGAACAATGAGGTATATTCTTCAATGTGATTGCGTCATAAAAGTCCCAGGGGTAACGGAATGGATTACTAAATCATATAAAAGCTGATGCTTGTTTATTGACAGCATTTCACAAAATAAAGGAGAGGGACAGCTAATATGACATTTCACTTCTGCCACAAATGTGGCCACGTGGCAAGATGTACCAATTCTGGAAAGTACTGTCATCGAATTGTAGGTGAGATATCACACTACAATTGTGACGTAGACTAAAGTTCCACTTTTGGCAGCTTTTTGAAACCTTATGAGTGGTAAGCTATGTCTTTCACCAAGATACAGTCTATGGATGTTTAGGAACTCCTGGACAAGTAATATACACTACTCAAATGCTTAAAGCACACATGTAAGGAAAGCACCAGGCACCACAAGTAAAATGTACCAAAGCATCTTTATTAAGAAGTTGCAGTTTTATTCCCCTAAGGAATTTTAAACCATGAATTTTTTAATGCTGAAAAACAGGACTGAAAAGAAAAAGCTAAAATATAAGAACATTTACAACATAAACTATATAATTATTCTGAAAAGAGTTTGGCCCACTCTGAAAGAACTGTACTCTTTATCTAAAAATGCAAGCCAGTAAAGAGTTAAACACAGTTCAAATTACTTCTGCATGACTGTCCTGGTTTTGTCTGGGATAGAGTTAATTTTCTTTCTAGTAGCTGTTACAGTGCTGTGTTTTGGATTTAGTCTGAAAATAATGTTGATTACAAACCTAAGTTTTCAGTTGTTGCTAAGTAGTGCTTACCCTGATCAAGGGCATTTCAAGTCTCCCATGCTCTGCCAGTGAGGAGGGGCACAAGAAGCTGGAAGGAGCGCAACTAGGACAGGTGACTTGAATTAGCCAAAGGGATATTCCATACCCCAGATTGTCATGCTTGCTATATAAACTGGGAATGGGTTGGCTGGGAGGCACCACTCACCGCTATGGGCTGGGCATCAGTCAGTGGGTGGTGAGCAATTGTTTTGTGCATCATTTGTGCTTCTTGAGTTTTATTTCTTTCCTTTTTTTGTTGTCTCCCTTTTCATCACAATTATTACTATTATATTATTTTATTTCAATTATTAAACTGTTCTTATCTCAACCTACAGGTTTTACCTTGTGTTCTGATTCTCCTCCCCATCCCACCAGGGATGGGGGGAGTGAGCGAGCAGCTGTGTGTTGGGGGCTGTGGTTAAACCATGACAACTACTAGTTTGGGTAGCAAGTGGTTCTGGAACAAAAATAATTTCATTCCCAAAGTTTAACTAATTCCTAAATTAGATTTTGGAATCAGGTATAGACCTGCTGAGGTAAAGGCTTATGTCTGAAGTACCATCTATTACCATTCTATTTATATTCCAATGCTATCAGACAGCTAAGTTAACCTGTTTTCACCAGAATAGGTAAGACCCTAGAATAGATAAGGCACTGAAAAGTCAGAGTCCAAAGGCAGTGTAAGGAATAGCTGCCGCCTTTTAGCTCCTGCCCAGTGATATTTGTAAGCTTTTCCAGCCCGAACTATAGAGGACAGCCCTCAAGCAGAGTAAGAGGTGGCTCTTCTATAGCACTTTGCTCAGAGAGGACCCACAGGTACACAGGAGAGACACCACAAGATCTAAGCAGTCTGTGCATTAGGCTTTAAGGCCCATATGACCAAGAAGCATGGACCCAGCACTCTGCACAGCAGAAGAAAGGAATAAAAACAAGCAGGCCTGCCCAAGCATGAAAACACAAACTACTCCTTCAAAACTAAGGCCATCTAAGACTTGGACCAAGGCTGAAATATACATTCAGAAGGCAATCAGAGAAAGCTGTATATTAACTCTGATCTCTGCACATGCTTAAACACGCAGTGTCAGCACTGGCAGGCTGACTGACAAGTAAGTTTAATAAGAATAAGGAGTTCAAAAAAAATTCAGTATTCCACTTGCAACCCCAAGCACAGAACTACACAAGTACTGGCAGCTTCCCACCTACCCCTGGAGTCACAGTGAACAAAGCTGTCTCATTATTCTTCTCCCACACCCTACCCCACACCTCCATTCCTCAGTTCCAGGATATCCACCAACCAAAACATATAAAATACTTCATGTTCCTAGAACTGCAGAATTTAAAATATATATATATATATATATATTTGACATTTCAAACTACCACAAAAGTTGCTTTAATAAGTTACACGTCAGATGCTGCACTTTCCACAGCAGGAAGCGGAAAATTCACCAATCAAAATGGCCAAAAGCTGAAATAAAATGTTGTGAATCCATTCTGCAAAGACAGGCCGGCTGCCTTTGCTAAACAGCAAATCTGTTGACATTGAATATCTTAACACAGTGATCAGCTCCACAACTTGCAAGCTGCAACCACTCACTGTTGTTCTGATCATTATGTCCAGCTCTGCCTGCATGATGTCTCCAACATAAACGTTTCACAGCAAGAGCATGACTTTGGCTGCAACAAAAAGAAATCCATACATAGCTGCAAAATGTCACACACAGTTGGGCATGTGAATCTAAACATCAACATTTATATAATTAGTACTCTTCTGTCAATGCTATCAACTGAGGAAAAACTGACTTGTGACAACCAGCAGGTATTAAGTTCTTAAAATAAGTAGGGCCATTAACACTAATGACATTTTATCCTCTCACTTATCAATAATTCAAACAGCTACTGATTTCAAGTTTTACCGAACTAAGCTGCAGGTCTAGCATCTCAATTACTGAGATATGACAGATTTCTGGCTTTTAGCCTGTGATTTCCTGTTATCTGGTGCCTCTTTCCAACTCACTTCAAGCACATGCAGGCCAAAGTCACCATCAACTTTCATTTCTGGTACTACCAATGCCAGTATGTGAAAGAAAAATCTAGAAGAATGCTTTAAGTGAAACATCAAGGTCTCTCTACAGAGTTTCTCTAGCTGTCACCACTGCAGCACCAGATATAGCTTGTCATTCCTCTGGTTTCTGCTAGAAGCTGCTCCTGAAAGCTTGCTGTCATCCACTTCAAAATGCTCTGCTAATGTATATGACACTTCAGTGTTTTCTATCACCTTATTTTATGGCTAAAGATAATAAAGTGGTTTTTTTGTGGGGCAAACAAAGGGTAAGACTTCTCAAAGTATTTGCACAGACTGAAGTATTTTGTGATTTAAGCTGACCCCTTGGTTTTCATTGGGGTTTGTTGGGGTTTTTTGTTTTGTTTTTTGATAAATCTGAATAACCAGTATTTTTATTTCCAGGTTTTGCCTTAAAGACATCTTTAGACTTTCAGAGATCAACCTTTTCCTAAAAGGATAATGATGTTTGATATAAGAATAAACCAGTTTCATATCATTTTATACTATAAGAATAGAACTCCAGCACTATTAGTTTCAAGAATAATACTTCCTTGCTCCCAACCTATTTCAAGACATACCTGTTATCCATCTCAACACACGTGGTCCAATCAGCTAGTGCTGGTTCTTGCTCACTCTGCTTCCATGTGTACAAAGTAATCTTCCCATTCTCTAAGCCTACTGCAACAATATATCTATCAAGAGAATACTGCATTAGTTCTGAAAGAAATTACAGTAGGCAACTCAGTGAAGCCAGCTCTAATGCAAGCTAGAAAGAACTAGCACTCAAAACTGTGCTCCACCTTGCCCTTCAGATCAGTATTTACTTTTCACAATTTGCATCAAAGGTTCTTCATAAAAAAATTAGCAAAGCAGAAACATACACAATATTTGGTTAGGAAAAAGGAGGTTATTACAACATCAGATCAGTCCATATTGTTGGAAGAATAAATATGTTTCAGGTGTGTTCATGCATTTTTTTTTCTTGTTACACTGTTAGGAGAAGTCACCAGACACCTGAAAAGATAGCCATGAAATCAAAAAAGTAGAGGTCATTCAGTTAAAGAATGGTCAAAATATTTTTGGACTAGTAGATTTTAGGGCCTCTTTAGCCACAGAAAACTGACTAAAGCAGAAAAGATACTAATAACACAAAACAGTATTACAGAAAAAACAGTACCTTCCATCAGGAGTAAGCACATGGCTGCTACTAACAGCAGTAACAGAATCCCCAGCATCCAGTACTGTTGAACAGGGCTTGATTGAATCCAACATATTCCCTTCAGTATTCACAGATACATCACAATGGCCCCAGATAATGACCTGTAAGAAAGAGAACCATCTAGGAATTTTCACTTGTAAATGCACTTAGAAAAGCATAAGGAATAACTTAAGTTAAAATAGTGGATGACCCCAAACCAATAAAAATGTCTATTTTTATATATTCAACTTCTCAGAGAGTCTGCTTTCACTAAAGATATTGACAACAAAAACAGATTCTGTTATGAAAGGTAAAAGAAAAACTGAGACCCATGAGAGTTATGTGACATATGCTTGTCTTACTGCATGACAATAGAAGGGAGAAGGTCCAACTGGCAGACCACAGTCTTATACATACGTATTCAAGCACTTTATTTAGCATATGAAAGCCTCACCGATTTCTGTGTAATACACACAAGAAGCTTTTTGTGTATTTATAGAATATGGACTCATTAGAACACAGCATTTGCTAATCTAAAATAAATCTGGGCTTTTAAAGTTGCTTTTGTATTAATTACCTTTCTGTCCCGACTGCCAGTAATAAAATACTTGCTATCTGGTGTCCAATCACAAGACCAAATGATTCGACTGTGAACAGCTGTATTTTTGTCTGTGTATGCACAGCAACTGAAAACTGGTCCTGGAATAAAACACAGGAAAACCCTTGCTTACACTATTTTACATGTTCAAAGTAATTGTTACTCCTCTTAACCCTCAGTAAGAACTGCAGAAATACTCAGACATTATTCCACTCATCTTTAAAGCAATTGGGAAGACTTAGCACCATATAAATATTTTTTCCAACACTTATCACAATGATAATTAGTACCTGTTCAACACCGCATCAGTCAGCCCCTAAAAGAGTAACAGTTTGATCCTTCACACCCATACCTGTTTCAGAAGAATGTAAGCCCAACCTTCATGTTCTTTCTATACAAGCTTTTCACAAAAACGCTGACTTCAAAGGTTTTAGTATAGCGTAGCATTTACCATCTGTACACGTACCCCAAATAATTTCACTACAGCCCTATTTACCAAGTAAAGCCCCAGGAGCTCAAATCATAATAATATAATTGTAAAGATTCATCTGTTCCCAAAAAGACAGGCTGCCATTTCAATATGCATACAATCAGGCAATAAAGCTGATCAGCAAATCACTAAATGGAAATACTTTTCCTAAGCAGAAAATATTTGGAGCATAGACTTTGAATAACCACTACTTAGGATGCCAATACCAGAAGTTTTGCTTTACACTGGTAACGATGTTCTTCGTAGACAGAAGAGTTATTGATGAACAGATGAAAAACAGTATTTCCCTATTTCCTATGAGAATTAGTACTCCTTATCCTGAAACATTGTATAACTATTGGTGGGCAATACGCCAGGCTTTAGAACCGGTCTGAAAATAACAGAAACCTCAAGCCATGATAAAACCAGACACTGTATGAACAGACCAAAACTCACTGCCAAGTCTCTAGGAAAACTCTATAGACCCCAGTAGTGTTTATGTGCTATTAAGCTAACAGTGCAAGATAATCGCCTTCAGCGCAAGCATCTGTTCTAGGAATCCATTTGAGCATTCAATAGCAATCTCCTCATGATTTTGCAAGGCTCAAAGTCTTAATGAGAAAGTCAACTGAATCTTTACTATCAGCATTTATTCCAGACACAGCCAGTCCTAGTCAAATTAATCAATTGTGTAGGATTATCAGAAAGCCACACCAAAGATAGAGATTAATCCTGTCAAGAGTCTCAAAGTGTCATGCCCTGCAAAGAGGGACAAGGCAGCTCTATGCAGGACACGGGTACAGCAATGAACCTTCCAGCCTTGCCTGCACAGAACACTGAGATGAAGGTTTTCCTTCATAGAATACCAGTTTGAAGTTCCAGCATCACAGTCCACCACGGATGCTTGATTTCAGTAAATCTGAAACATATTCACAAGCAGAAGGCAGGAGGACAAACAGCAGATTTCATTACATCCATCAATTAAACAGCATTTAAGGCCCAATTATATACTTCTCCACATTTTAATTCCCTTTCTAGCTTTCCTATACACCATTAACTGCACTTCTTAAAGCCACAGGAGTCTACAATACTATTAACTCTGAAACGTTGTAAGGAAAACGTCCATTAAAATATTTTTACCAATTCTCTTACAAGTATTCTGAAGCCAGAAGTACTGAACAAACCAGGAAGTCTTCAAATGTGTATACCCACTTCACATATCTTACCTGACTCTGATGAGCCTTGTTTCCTCCATAGTGACCAATTCCTGTCTCTAGAAACTGCTAATAAAAATCTGTCATTAGGAGAAAATGCCAGCTGAGTAACAGTCAGATTGTGAAATGACAAACTCTGCAGTTTCTTCCAAGAAGCAGTGCTCCACAGAATAATTGCTGCATGTTCTTTTTTTGAAGCCTGTATTGATGGGAAAAAAAAAAGTATCAGTGAGAATCATCAAAAGCAAATACAAAAGGCACATTATTTCAAAACACAAAGATGTTAAGGGGCTTGTTTTAAGGCTTGCAAGTAAGTCAGAGTCAGTTTTCGCCTGGAAAGTGTCAAGATTTTTTTGCCGCTTTCTACTAATGCTGATTTTACAGGAAGTAAATGTTTTATACCTAGATTTGTTAGAATTTATCTAATACCTTCAAATGAATCATACATAGTTTATGAATAATAGTTTATCCGCATTCACCCTCACCTTTGCAAGACAACTGTCATCTATATAAAATCTTTTCACATTTAAGTGAAAGAACAGAATTCAGCCCAAACTGAATTCTCCTGCTCTGTCAGCCCTGGAAATATGGTGTCACTTTTCACTAGATGGTGCTAGAATCTTTTCTTACCTTACATGCTGAGGCAATTACAGTGTTTGAATTATTGCAAGCAACACAAAAAATTTCATATCCATGTCCATATCTGAAATAAATGTGAAAAGGTACTTAACACATCACAGTCATTCTTGCAGTATGCATCAAGGTTCTTATGTTACTTAAAATCCCTCTGCAAATATGAAAGGCACCTTCCAGGAACTTCTCACCAGTGTTTCAGTACTATGTCCCAAGTAATTCCTAACCATGCTCAGCATTCAATTTAAACATCTGCATAAATTCTTTCACATTTAGGAACTGACTACAGAAAAAATTTGACCAGCCCATTCTATAGTCCTTAAGCATCAGCACTGCAGAAGCTACACTAATGATTAACAAAGCAGACTAGAGCAGCATGTAATGTATTCTTATTTTCTTAAAAAGTAGTTTTAACACTACCTATAAAAAAAACAGAAGCCATGTATTTGAAGATCACCAAAGAAACCCACCACAAACACCCAGCCAAAGGATGCGTGTTCTGTGAAACAGCAAAAGATTTCTGAAGTAGAGGACGAAAATCACGTTGGAGAAGGAATACAACACTGTAAAAACCCCAAAACTTCTAGCTCTTTCTAGAAATACACTTTTAATCAGTCTTTGCACGAGTTGTGCTGGGATTGAAGCTCACATATCTGGACTGGGATTTAACTAATAAGCAGAAATGCCACACAGATTAACACAAATGAAAATCAGTCAGAAAACACAGCGGAAGTAAACCAAAATTGGAGATGCAATCTATGAACAGTGGACAAGTATCACCTAAATACCAGTTGGGGGCGAGAGGGGAGGAGGGGGAGGTGTTGCTCCTTTGATTCCTATCTGTGAAGAGATGGGCAGTTCTCTTAATAAACTCCTTCAGTCAGGAGTGTTGCAAAGTTCTTATAAGGGATTGATATTCATGGGATTTCACTTGCAGCCAGAACAGCCATCTGTTTCAATGACAAATTACTGTCTCTATCTGTTGAACAGAATCCAGAAGAGTCACTGCTGGGCATATCCCATAGACAGACTCCCACATTCATGTCTGAAGACTGGGGATACACTGGCTTTTCATGAAGAGTAACTGTGCCTGGGGAGAGGGACTGGTGGCTGTGCTTAATTGGAATGTTAATTTGCAAATTTGATTGCATCTTATAATGATTAAGGTACTACTGCAAGTCTTCCCCTTAATGTGCCACCAGCAGGAGTTTTATGATAATGCTTACTTTTAAAGCACATTCCTGGGGACTATTCTGTAGCAAAAACCATTGGAAGTCAATTGGCTAAATCTGAAAAGTATTTATTCCATGAAAAGTATAAATTTCCTGAAATTCAACGAAGGAAAAATGACCTGTGGAACACCTTGTGAAACAAGTCCTCAGTTACTCTGGTATCATCTCCTAAAGGTAATATTGAAAAGCACTTGACAGAAACATTCTGAGCTTCTGCATCCAACTTTGCTCTTGCTAAAAAGAAGCATTAAAATGTTACCTTTAAATCAAAGCAAAACCTTAAATACTGTGTTCTGCAAAGTCACATGAGCAGAACTATCACAGGTCAGACCGACAGCCTATATAGCCCACTGCCGTCTCCAGTAAAGAGAATAAATTTAGTGGCAGTAGGAGATGTTTGTATAAGCAAGCGTGAGACTTGTGAGTATAGAAGCTCCAGTACAACCCCTTCTCATGTCTCCATACACGCAATCTGATCCCTTCAATATACAACACCAAAAAAAACTTCCACAATTGAGAGAATGAATCAATAATGAAATTGCACTTTCAACCCTTTTTTAGCCTTAGCAATGTGTAATTCATAGCATTTTTTTAAGCACAGGTAAACTGACTGGACTTTCATAGTGTCCAGACAAATGACTACAGTAATTTTCTACTGTCAGAAGGGATTCCTCAAGACTTCCAAATGCATTACATGACATGTACATACATACAAACATGCGTATTTATGTCAACACTTTAATCTCAGCCTGCTGCACATAAACTCTCTACATTAATTTTCCTTGAGGATAAAGATTAGCACACTCTCATAGGATTTATCATATTTTTATTTTAAAGTTATTAGATAATGTAAAAAATTCAGCAAGTTCTTCATACTAAAACCTACTTAAGTAAAAGGTTTGCAAAACCCAACACAAATCCTTCAAAATTTGGTGTCAAGTTAGAGCTGGGAATGCACAAATGTCAATGACAAACAAGCTATTTTTAGCAAGCCAGTTCCTCACACTGTTTTTCTGCTGCTATGGCAACTTGAAATCTACATTATGCGATTTCACGTTACTTCTTTCAAGATTATCCTGAGGAAAAAACCTGAAAGTCTATGAATGCTTCACATCTTGTCGCCCTTGCATAAAAGAATCCCTATCAATAGCAGTGTCTCTAAAAACAGAAATAATTGCTCAGATAAGTCATCTAAGACCATCATAAAATGCAGTTATTTTAATGAATGCAGGATATAAAAGCAGATATGCAGTACTCCTGTTAGCAGAATATCAAAGATTCATGTCTCACTAGACTTCGAGAAATGTCAAAATTAAATGAAGAAAAATTTTGGCTTTGGCTTCTTTTCACTACTTAAGTAGTTTGATAAGGTATCTTTATGTGAGTGGGTACATTAGCAGCCATAGCACACACAGGAAAAGCAGTTAACGTAATGGTTAGAAACTACAAAACATGCAGATGTGGTCCAATATCCAGCAGCTTCGCTCCTGTAAGCACTTTTGAGTACAAACACAGTAATGGAGCTTAAAAGCACTCAAAGAAAATTAACTGCCTGGTTGAAGGTAAAGATGAGCTCCCACAAAACCTCCTACTTGGTCAAATTACAGCAACCTGCAAACTGTTTTCACAAAGCTTTTTATTTCCTGCCCTCCAACTGAAGTCACGAAACTTGCAATGTAGAAAGGCAATTGTAATCATCAGCAAAGGCTCAACATTATTCTTGTTCCTGCCTGAGACCACTCTTTCAGGAGATTAAGATAAATAAACCGTAAGATCTTGAGATGATTCATTTCTTTCGAAGATTAATACTAAAGCTTTGAAGATTGTGAAAGTGTAGCATAATGTTACCATGATCCTTACAGAACAAATCAGGTGACAACCTTCAATCGCAAATTGTTGTGAATCGTGGGAAAGAAGGAACAAAACATAGCTGAAGAACCATGCAACATCAAAACAATTACTGTCATGACCATGTAACTATTATCTTCACAATCCACAACCACTCTGTCAGCATTCAATATCTAAAGTGGGTTTGTAACTGTCTTACTCAACATTCATCACTTTGCTCTACCACTAGACACATCCGATATTGGCTGCTGCTTCCATCTGTGGCACCTTACAACTCTGTTAGGCTTTAGGGGGAAGCTCCTGCATTGATGCCTCAGCTTTTACCCCTGTACCAGGAAGACAGACTTGATCTGCAAGTCTGTGCCACAAAGTGGAAAGAGATAGAAAACTCCCTATGCCAAGAGACATTCGGTATACGCAAGGTTTTAAGCAGATGTGCTGAGCAGACAGATACAAACAAAGGCTGCAGCATGGAAAGAGAGGCCCATCGCATTCCTGAGCACAGAGAAGACCATGAGAACATGTTGCAGCTCCTTATAGCAAACCACAAGCCTTGCTATTATCTTGGAAAAGAGGAAAATATCAAGGATTGGTGCCCTAAACAGACCTTCAAAAGACAAACATCTAAAGAAACAACTAAAGTCTGCTCAATACAAATTCAAACCATAGCTTTGTGCTAAAAAATATACGTATTTCACTGGTACAGAAACAACTAGTGAAATAAAACTTTGTGACACATCAGTTCTAACTGCTATTTTCTGCATTATTTCCTCATTTTTCTACACATACAAATTATTTATTTTATAAGCAATACACTGCACACAAAGTCAACCAGGCAGTAAAACAGGAAGTTACAAGACCAGACTACATTACTATGTTGTAATAGCTTTCTAGAAATTTCATAAATTTAATAAAAAAGGAAAATAAAACTTACAACTTCTGAATTTCAGGCCACAAGGTATTCTGCAGCAAGTGATCCTCTGGGGGAGGTTCTAAAAGACATTTGTACAACATACTCAAATTTGGTACTGACTAATCTAAAAATCAGCCAAATAATGCTTCAAGTTTAATCTAATGAACCTCATTCTCTATTTCCTACAATAGAAATTAATATCATACCTGTAAGGATCAAGGGTTGAAAATAAATCTCAGGATACTGATTCGAAATGGTATTAAATGTTTCTTCATCCTCAGCTGGTTGAACACCCATATCTCCTGTTCAAAGTAAGGACTTCATTAGCTCAAGAGGACGTACCTGACATGAGGAAAAATACTTACTAGACAAGCAAAAAAAAAAAAAAAAAAAAAAAAAGAAAAAAGGAAATCTATATCTAGTTATTCTAACGTACAAGAGAATGAGGAGGCGAGAAAAAAACTAAAATAATTAAAATCTAACCTTTGGATTCATTTCATTCCAAGACTGACCTGTCTTCATCAGCACAGTCTCTTTCAGAGATTTTAAAACAGACTTTGATTTATCAGAAAACAGCAGTCACCAGGAGCTGAACCTGTGCTTCCCCAACATTAAACCTTTCCTTCTGTATTTGAAAATGCCCAAGGCAAAAATCTCAAATACAAGTGGTTAATTCCTAGATTTACTGTAGACCCCTAAATGAAAAGCCATACTTGCAGAAACTTATCTACAATCAGCAAACTTCAGCAAAACTGCCAAGGGCTCAGTCCTTTGCTTTAAGCAAAAGTACAAGAAGTAACAGACACTGCTCCAGTTAATTTTAAGTTAAAATTCAACTCTGTCCTTCATTTTGAAGGTATTATTTAAGAAAAAGGTACAGAGTTGGGAACAGTTGCTCTCAGACAGAACCTAACCTTTTGCCAAATGCACATTTCAAATACAGAACAGTTTAAAAAAGGAGGTACAGAAACAGCAGAACAGAAAACCTGTTCTTCTCATTCATCCTTGTCTTCTCTCCCCTTGAAAATGAAATTAACAATATTTATCTCATTTGAGACTGCTATCTGATGATCAACACTCACCAGGAAGATTCCTCTGCAGAGTAAGCAAGAAAAAAGGTCTGTGGGTCTTTATCCTAAGCCATCAGCGCCTGGCAGCATTGGGTGGGCAATGGTGGGCAATGGTGGACAATGCAGGATAATTTGACATCTTTTCTACTCATAATGCTGCTTCTGGGTGTACCATATGACATCAATGGAAATTAGTTATTCTCTGTGTGATAATACTCTAGGAAAAGGAAGTATTGTGTTCCCTCTCAGCAGGGCTCATGAAAAAGCAGCAGAAAAATTAAATTCACCCAGCACTTCATCAGCCTTTCACAAACAGAACATTAGTTACTGTTGGCCAATTAATTCTTCCTTCCCAAATACTTTCACAAGGCAACACATGCCTGGAAAAAAAAACATTCATGGCTATTTTCACTGGAACAGAAAGTGTGCCACTGATCCTCCTCAAAGCAGCATTAAGCTTCTACAAGGGGGCTAACATCTGAGGAGAGTACGAAAAGGACTCCAGAATGTAGCAGTATTTTACAAAGCAATCACAAGTAGCAACAGATAGTCCTGCTTTAACAGCTCTGAACCTAGTTTTTACAGTACACTATTGAGTACTAATTCTTTTGGCTGAAAAGTCATTAGTCTTCTCAGGGGGCTAAAGGTAGTGAGCATGGAGAAAACAGAGGAACAATAGCAGGTGGGGAAATTCTAACAATATCCTGCTGTGGTTACTCCTATAACCATCACAGGAGAGCAATGTGCCCCAGCATCCATGTGAAACTCATCAACATCAGTCAATAGCAGAGGCTCTCAGGACCACTGTACAGACTGAGCGGGGTTCCTTCCTACAGAGGTGCAGGACACAATATGGAAACCAGGAAAAGAGTATTTTAGGTTTCCAAAAGACGTTAGGAAATGTTTAGAGGAGAAATCGAAGACAGAAAAAGGGAGGAAAGATTCTCATTTGTGCTTTTTTATTTTTCAAGCACCATATTTAGGTATTACCAGAGAATAAACACTTAGCACCATTTTATTTCTAGATTCTAAACTTGCAGTCAAGCTTACAATGACACACCTAACAAAAAGATGTACACTAAAACAATCATTTAAAACAAAGCTTCCACATGAAACACCACCACCATTATTTTTCATTAGCCATACCTTCAAAAACAGCTTTATTGGATAATCCCAAAGCTGGCACAGTTGCACCTTCTGGAAGATCAGCTGACTGCTGAATTTCATAAATAAATAAAATACATAAATAATTAAAAGTTTACATATGGATTGTCATGCAGGTTCAGGTTTCAAAGTCCACAGTTCAAGGAATCCCCGAGAGTGACTTTTCTAGAGAAGTGAAGGAGGGCACTTTGAAAAACTCCCAACTCATCCAGAACCTAATAAATAATCAATTAACTGAGAGCACTGCAGTTTTTAACACCATAGGACTGGGAAACGGTCTGTTTGGAGGTGAAATAATAAAGCAGCATTTTGGAAAAGGGGACAGAGGGTGTCTGTGTCCACAGCTTCACACTCAACTCGGTACATAGCACAGAAATGTGGCCAGAGTACATGCCTGTTTAGGACAGCACAGAGGAAAGACAACTCATCACAGCAAATACTTCCATAAAGGTATGGGGAAAAAAGCGAAAATTTAGAAAGAGTAAGTGAACTTGAGGCCTTTGTGCAGAGATGGGAAAAGATTAGATCTAATAACTGTAAACCCCCTTCCTTACAGTGTCTGAAAAGTCCCAAGAAAGACTGTTTTCCAGATTTGGATTAATAATTTAGGTGACATCTTAAAATACTATGTTATTTATTTAAATGTTCATAACTTGATGAGAAAGTGTGGGAGACACACGCATAAGCCTAAGGCCTCTAAACCAAAAACGGTTCTTCATTACAACCCAAGGTGTAATACAATCCCATGGATTTGAACTAAATATAATCCTATTCAACTCTTTTGAATATTAAGATGACTTTTTTTGGTTTTATTAGTTTTTGGGGAAAGGTGTTTTGAGCTACATTAAGAAAAAGCTTATCCACTTTAATGGGGAAAAAAAAAAAAGCATCCACAGAAACAATTTCAATACAGTTTTTTAAGAATAGCTGTATATTAGAGCTCATAAAACCTTCCTCTTTAAACTAAGCCTATGTGAAACACTGTGATATTATGAATCAATAAGCAGCACTTAGAGGACCTGATAAGGAGAGTCTACATGAAAGTAAATTAATAACATCTGCCAGCATTATGAAAGCACAATGTCATAAACACACATGCTTACAAAGTCTTACGGAATTAAAGCACTAAACAGCTACTTATGTAACTTCTTGCTACCAAAAATGAATAGATTTCTTTCCCACGTATTTCAATTGTTAAACAAAATGGAAAGTCTAATCCACGTCTGAGAAGCTGCACAGAAAACACTGCTTCCTTTTGAGCCAGAAATGCAAAAAGCATGCAAGGCACGTACAGAGGCAGCTACCTTGAAAGAGGTCTGCTCTACAAAATGCAAAGAAAAACGAGACATAGAGCAAATGGGGAGGAAAGGACAGCAACTCTGAAGTCTTATCTTTCCACAGAGTAGGAAAGTACACTTATTGACAACTAAGAACTGGAATGTAAAGGCCTCAAGAAAATTTCCAATGCCAAGAGGAAATAAAGCACGAGCAAGTACGTATTTACAAATATTTACATGTAACAACTAACAACAATGCTGAAAGCTTTATGCTATTTCCAAGCATACAATTAAAAAAAAACAAAACCAAAAACACATAACCACACAACTGTAATTACATCTAGACAAGACTACTACACCCTTAAATTAAGAAGCACATTCCCAGGCTTTATTGTTTGCTTTCAAACCACAGAGCGCGTGCAGTAGTCTACTTGGTGTGACTTATTTAAAATTTACCCATGCTCTTTTCAATCTTCAGACACTGGGTCTGGATAAGTTCCAAATGCAATCTGTTTTATGAGATGACACCATAAAAATACATATAAAACAACACACACTGAAGCTAATAGAAAAAAAAAAAAAAAATGAAAAACCAGGTTAAGGTTTCAGAACTGTTAAAGTAATTTGTATGGAGTTCAGTGAAATTTGTCATTTTCTAAAGCATTAATTTACATGAAAGAGGACCGTTATCATTTAGCAGTCCTTTAGCACACTTACGTGGGAGCACAGCTTCTCCATTGGAATACCAGTGATGTTACTGAAATTTTCTATGAAATTCTTGGGAGCACGAAAAACTCGAAGCACTTTTTCATCTGCTCCAGACACAAACTGAAACCGGCCAATCATTGCCAGACAACGCATGTCATATCCGTGTACTTGAGGCCTTGCAATTTCATGCCAGGTTACCTACATGAACAGACACTCTGTTAGAACACAATTCTTAACCAGAGATTTTGAGTTCAAAAGAAGTACTAATGCTTTACTTGCTGATTTTATTAACATAAAGTTAATAGCAACCTTCTACTGACATAGAATCATAGAATAGTTAGGGTTGGAAAGGACCTTAAGATCATCTAGTTCCAACCTCCCTGCCATGGGCAGGGACACCACACACTAAACTATGTCGCCCAAGGCTCTGTCCAACCTGGCCTTGAACACCGCCAGGGTTGGAGCATTCACAACTTCCTTGGGCAATCCATTCCAGTGCCTCATCACCCTTACTGGAAAGAACTTTTTCCTTTTATCTAATGTAAACTTCCCCTGTTTAAGTTTAAAGCCATTACCCCTTGTCCTACCACTACAGTCTCTGATGAAGAATCCCTCCCCAACAGCCTTATAGGCCCCCTTCAGATATTGGAAGGCTGCTATGAGGTCTCCACGCAGCCTTCTCTTCTCCAGGCTGAACAGCCCCAACTTTCTCAGCCTGTCTTCATACGGGAGGTGCTCCAGCCCCCTGATCACCCTCATGGCCCTCCTCTGGACTTGCTCCAACAGCTCCATGTCCTTCTTATGTTGCGGACACCAGAACTGAACACAATACTCCAAGTGAGGTCTCGTGAGAGCAGAGTAGAGGGGCAGGATCACCTCCTTCAACCTGCTGGTCATGCTTCTTTTGATGCAGCCCAGGATATGGTTGGCTTTCTGGGCTGCAAGCGCATACTGAAGCTGGCTCATGTCAAGCTTCTCATGCACCACCACCCCCAAGTCCTTCTCCACAGGGCTGCTTTGAATCTCTTCTCTGCCCAGCCTGTACATACACCAGTTAAATCCTGTTTTTCCACCAAACAATTCCCGTGATTAGTAAACTGTGACTGTGCACAATAATGTTTAAGGCTTACCTTTGTTACTAAGGGCACACTGCCCTTTACTGTGACTTCTGTATGCTAGATAACCAGGAATAGGACAAAATTTGCCTAAGCAAAAGAAGGATTGTATGCTGCTCACTACTTTCAAAACTGTAGCTCTGAAAGACGTAAGTCAGGTAGTTAAAATTACCTTGCTTCCTTTATCCGTGTTTCACAAAGCACAGCAGCACTGCTGTCAGCAGGCTACAGGTTCCTACTTCCCCTTTCCTTAAATACTTGATTTTAGTGAGACCATTTAATAGAAGCTTTGCAAAACACTGACAAAACCAAAATAGCTTCTTATAGAAAAAATATCTGGAAAATCCTGATGATTTTAGAAGTGTTTTCATTTTAAATATTAAATTTTTTTCTAGTTTCCCAAAATAATCATATCTATGCTTCAAATATTAATCCAAAAACACCAAAATAGACAGCTAACCAAAAATTAGGCAGAGAAGTTAGTTTTATAGTCACACTAAGCAAAGAATATTAACAAAAAATATACTGATTTATTTAAATCGGTTTTCTAAAAAATCTTATTTACTCTGCACATGATAAAAATTGATTCTAAAACCAAAAAGAACAACCAAACACCTTTGTTTTCTAGCAAATACACTTTCATGGAAAGATTTTTAGTAAGTGTAATTTGCTACTATTCCTACATGATACTTCAGTTGGAAAAAATACAGAGTGCACTTTTGAGATAACAACTAGCAGAATTAGAATTAAACTACTTCAGTATTAAAATGCCTGGAAAATTGCAGCCAAGACAGAATTCACATTGTACTAGATATACAAACACAAGGAAAGGCTTTAACGCTGTCTGTGAACTGCATAAATCTCGCTAAAAATTCAAGTGAGTTTTATGTTGAAACTTCTAATAGAACCTGAATGGGATCCTACAAAATCTTACGTTTCCACAAAAGCTTTATTATTCCACTGAGAAAACCAAACAGAACAACAAAAAAACCCCACACACATTCCCCCCTCCCTGCAAAAGAAAAAACAAAAACAGAAAAAAATCAAACTAAAAAACCCACACAAAAGCAATGCAATAAGCCCTTCTGACCCTTTACTAGGTACATGTTTGCGTACTTTGAAACCACACACAAAACAGGAATGAAAAACAAAACAAAACCCCAAAACAAAGAGAGGGCTGCATAAGTCATGCAATAAGCTTCTTCCAGAAAAACAAGGGTGCAAATTTGCATGACAAATTGAAGCTGATTGCCGTCACTCATTTCTCATATTTGAGCCCAGTATGATACCAGAATTGAGGTTTCAAGAAGGGATAATTTTTTGCATTTAACACTCAGTTCTCTTTCTACAGAGAAAAACATGAACATTGAGCTGCAGTACAAACTTCTCATATATGAATAATCCATTATGTCCTGTTAAAACAAACATCAGATGACACCTGTTACATTTTTTCAGATGCTAAACCCAGCATGGTAAAGAAAGTAAGGCATTTTAAACACTTGATAAGTTCATGAACAGCAGAACTAAACTGGTTTTCAGGGTTCAGAAGTCCAGAACACACCCTTTCAAATGATCTACTTCTACCTTAACCTTTCGCCTCAACCCACCAACAGGATACTATAACTTTCTCCCACATCCCATTCAGCAACAAGTGTTGATGCTACTTGGATTTACACCTGGTTAAAATAGCCATGTGCTACTCTGTATCAGAACAGAAGGGGAAGTACAATAGTTCAGTTCACACCAAACTTCAGTATGAAGACTGCAACCACTCTGCGAAATCAATTAATTCAAAAGTTTCAGGGACAGAAGGAACAGGTGTACAGGTTAAGTCATACAAAGCTCAGTTCTTTCAGAAAATAGGATTAAAACTTAGCAAGCAGTATATGTAATAAAGAGTGGTACTTGAGTAGGTCGCAGAGAATGTGGTATTGACAATTATTTTGAATGCTGCCAACTTATATCATGTGCTAGTCCTGGACTTTGCGACTATACATCAAATCCAACATACTATCTTTTCCACAGAGCTGTTGCACCCTACAGATCAGAGATTAGGGGAAAAGACTGGGAAGGAAACTGAAGATGCCCTTCCTACCACACAAGGCAAAGCTTAGCACTTGAGCTGGGATCGCCACCACTTCTGTGTGGCCTGGAAGAAGGAAATCAAGACATTGATGCCAAATTCACTCTCTGAAAAACATCAGACATCCTGTGCTGGTCACACTACAGATGCATTAATGGAACAATTGTAAGATCCACCCTTTGCCTCTCCCAGCTAATAGCACAGCTTGCACAGGGCCTCACATGATTTCAATCTAGTTTCTGCCAGTTTTCTTGAATGGAACATTTGTACTGCTCTGCCAGAAAAAGCTGTATTTGTAGATGAGGAAAATGTGTGAGCAACTAGAAACATGAATATTTGCATTCTTAGACAGGGTTTCCCCCACCATGATTTAGACTTATTTTGGAATATAAAAATTTATTAAGGAATAATTCTTCCTGAAAAGTTGGCTGCACAGGTACCAACTGCACTCAGGAAGTTCAGATAATCATTCCGGTAAAACGGTCAGAGCCATAAGCTAAATCGTGTAAAAAACACAGTGAGAATTTTGCTTAGATTAAACTTGTGTAATAAAACACAACCAAAGTTGAGTTATTTTATGATTACCTGCAGCAGTCCTTAGCCAAGTATTAAATAAGGGCAGTAGATGGTTATTAGAATCAGCCATGTATACCTCCTTCTGAATTACTGCAGACCCTGGGAGAACACTAACTGAAGGCAACCTGGGGGCAAGCTCAGGATTAAACAGCAGTCATGCTATGTCAGTTGTTAAAACTCTGCCACTAGCATTTTTAAAGCGAAACCAGCACAAACTCAATGACTAATCCAAGCATTTACACAAGCAATTTTGAACAGATTATAGCTTGGGGACAATTCAAGGTTTGAGTTATGTTCAGGTGACTTGTTCCAAACTCAGGACAGACAAGCACGCTTTACCAAGTTCAAAAAATCTTTGAAGATCATACCTCTGTTTCTTGTTTTCTTTTCCATGGAGCAAAGAGTCTAGTAGTTTGATCAGAACCAACACTGATGATAAACTCTCCTTCTGGGTCCCACTTTACATCCTCTACACTGTTAAAATGTCCTGAAATCACAACTTCTGGAGTCCATTCTTTCTATTACAAAAGTCAGAAAGCAACAAGGATTTCTCAGTGGACTGACATATTCTAACCAAAATAGAAGTATCAGTACCCTTATAAGAAAGAAAAAAAAAAAAGCATTGAAAACAGTAAATTATTAGAACTTGAAGTGGCAAAAGAGACACAAATACTGATTTACTGCTCCAATCTAAAACAAACTTGTGTAATTGGTTTAGTTGCCACTTCTGAACAAAGCACAACCCCTAAGCAGTTTAGTCTATTCCACTGACTTTATGGTTCAACAGGGAAGCAACAGGTTTTAGAGCCTGGGAGACTGCAACACCCCTTCTGTGCAGAAGCAAGACTCCTATATTCTATTCAGAGGAGGACTATTTCAATCATTAATTTTAGCTTGTATACTTTTCTATTAAGAATAGCACTTCAAGTGACATCTAAGTGTAATTATTCTAAGTACTAATAAAGAAAAAAACCAACATACCTTATTACCCGTAGCCTGTTTCCAAAGGTGTAATGCTCCATGAAAAGCATGAGCAATGATCATTGCACCATCTGGACTAAACTGGCAGTCAAAAAATCCAAGGGTATTGCCACCCACTTCACCTACACGAACCTGAATTAATGATCAGAAGTGAAATATCCATGAAAACAGCCTCCCATTCATATAAACTCATCCTAATCTGATGAGATGAAAATTTAGCTGTGGGCAAGAGTTTGCATTACACGCAAAAATACATTTAAAGAATATTTTAATTACAAAATTAAGAACTAAAATATCATGACAATTAAAGCTGCATGCCACTTTACTGGAGCCTCCCTTCATAAAAGGAAAGGATCTTGCTTGGTCCCCAAAGGGAAAGAAAACACTACACCAGATGAGATGGGGAACCCAATCTTTCTGTGTTTCACTTCAGTCTGTTGGATTTAACAGTTTCTTGTCATCTGTTGCACAAAATGGAAAAACGGTCCAAAGAAAAAGTAGTTTCAAATTACCTGCCTCCCCCCCAGTCTTAATTTCCAAGATTCACTACCATATTTCCACCTCTCTGTTTCTCCATGAATCCCTGCAATTTACTCTACATTCCTTCTGAGGCATATTTTGGCCTCTGTTTTGTGCTTCCCTTGTGACTTTGCATGTATGTATGCATACACACACAAATGCCTTATAGTTGCTATAGTGTTCTTCCAAATTTTTAATTACATTAGATTATTAAAGTTACATTTTCAAGTTTTATTCAAGAGGTAAGACCACAATTCCTCTCAAGCTGAACTCTTAACAATTCCCCCATTATTATACAGCTGCTTTTAAGATCATAATGAAATGAATCTATACCTCATTTTAAATGTTGCTGTGGACTAGTATGTCCATTTGATTAGCACTCATTCAAAAATAATACTGCTCATATGGAAGTGACTTTGATATGCAATGACAGAGGCAGAGCTCTAGTCTCACTTCTGAACAGGGGAATGATTTTGTGAAGACTTCTTGTTTAACATAAGAAAGAGAAAATGGGATGTTCCCCTTGTGCCTTTCTTCCCTGCAGGCTTCCAGCTCAGGTTTCCCTCTCTCAATGCAAAAAGGATTGTTGCAGTTAAAATCTGAACTGTGAGCTGCACATTTGAGGTCTAACCAATGCAAACAGAATGTCAAAACAAAGAGTAACAACATGCAATGAGCTTTACTGCACAACCCCTTTTTAGAAGCTTGTAAATTTAGCCACAACTAAGCATTTCAACTAGGGACATGGTACCTCTATGTGATCACCCTATTATGAAGCAATTTATTCTTCAAGTAGAAAGGCATAAGAACTTTTCAATGGAACAAAGGAAAAAGTAAACACAATACTGTAATTCTTTTTCACCCAAGAAAGGATGAGAACTTTCTTTGTGACCGGAAAGATCATAAACAATGGTTGGCATAAACCAACCCAAACAATTTCAGCCAAACTATTGCAATTGGGAAAAGCAAGTCAACTGAAAACAAAGACATCTGCCAAAGGTCTAGATAAATCTCACTGTACTACTTGTTTATTTAGGATGATCCACATTAGAACAGCATTCAAAATCCTACAGTGAAACGTGAATATCCAGATCACATGGCAGAAAAACCTAGTGATGCAACCCATGAACAAATTACTGTGAGTAAAACCAGGCTTGTGAATTGCATGTCAGCTGCTGTGTAGTAACTGCTTGGGTACACATTCCCATAAGGATTACTACAAATCATTCAGAAAGGTTTCTTCTCCTTCTTCTTGACAGGAGTACACAACATGTGTTACTATACAACACCTAGCTTGCCATACTGTAAATGACAATTGAGCACAAACCATCCCTTAGAAACTCTCCAATATGGTAACAAGAAAGCAAACAAGCAAAAAATCATATTGCATCACATCCTTTTTGAAATATATAGTTTTATACACAACACAGCATCCTAACAAGTACTTCTGCAAGAAAATGCTTTTGCCTTTCTCTCCCAGTATTTTGTAGTTTTTGTTCCCTACAGTATACACACAATGCTGGAAATGCAACTTGAATACTGTACATTATTGTGAGAAAGATTTGACACTTGCCTGTTCTAGCCAGACTCCAGATTCCTTATCAGGTTCCCAGATGATCACAGTTTTGTCCATTGATGCAGACAATATCCGCATTGGTTGTTGCATGCTGCCATCTACAGTACAAGGAAAACAATTATCCTACAACTTATGATAATACTGTCTAAAAGAATTTGATCATACTGAAATCCAAATACACTAAGAAAATTGTACAGCATCAGATGCGCAATGCAGTACTTAAGCGACAGACTTAAGCTCTAGGTTCTGGCCAAGCCTTCATTAGGAGGTAATGGATTTTTCAGCCATAACATCCCAAAGAAAATCTAAAACACATATATGAGAACAACCATATTCTGTTTATTCACTCCAGACTCATACTGAAACAAACATAATGCAAAAGAAAAGCTAGAGCTTGACAGAGTCACTGCACAGCAGTTCTCAGTTTTATTCCCCAAATAAGTTTTTACTGAGAGATTACAGTTTAAAACAAAATAATCTCTATGCCAACATTCACTGGGTTGGTTTTTTTTTTTCAAACTAAACGTTAGATTCAGTACAGACTTCATTAGACTGTAGCACTTTGTAATACATACAGTAGTAAGGACTGCTCCACAAAATGCAGTGAAACACTCCAGACAACTGCTCAACAGAGCCAAAATGGAGAAGAGGCAACTGGTTCATCACCCAACTGCAAAATCTGTAGAACCACTGAGGAACCTTTCTTGAGAATAGAGATATTGGTCGGCATCTTATGAGCCAATATCTTATGTCAGCACCAGACCTCCTACCTTATGCATTGAGAATACGACTCTCAGACCAGCCTGCCTCTACTGAAGAGGAGAAGCTATGTGCGGAACCCAAGTCTGGGCAGACCACAGATTGCTAGCAGCTGCACATATGCAGAGAGGCATGATGTAAGACACCTGGAAAACTTCATGGCCTTAACAGGACAGTTTTTGAGATTGTAGTGCAAGACTTACATGCCTATATTGTCCCTAAACCTTGCTTTGACAGGCAAAATCTTTTACTGGTGTCTACAAAAAAAAAAGATAAAGAACAGGTAACTCAGCCAATATTTCTGAAGTAAGTTCTGTGTCTTTCACCAAAGGTATTTTGATATTCTAATTGCACTCTACTGTTCAACTGTTGTATACACACATCAGCTTTGTACTGATGATGTCATTTGCCATCAGTAACTCTAATACATCTTTGGGGGGGGGGGAAAAGAGGCACCTTTGCCAGGGCAAATACACAAGCATGTTCTGAGCGTGCAAGCATGTCAAATCAAGAATCTCCTCTTATATGCCAGGCAAACGCACATCAGCAAATCAGTACTGCAAGCAAAGCTGTCAGAATTTAAGGATTTTAAAAGAAAGATAAAAGGCTAGCGCAAAATGCAAAATTAAACTGTAAATAACTTTTCTCTTTTTTTAATAAGCATCTGCATTAATGCCTTAAAGCAATGTGTGAGAGAAAACTGATACTCAAGGAATCCCTAGCATGTTATATTAACACACAGGAAACTGAAGATTAATCTTCTGAATGTTGCTGTTTGTTCCTTTCTACTCCAAGAACAAGAAAGGAGTGCTCTTGAGTTAATGCTTACCTTCTAAAGAACAGATAATTCAAACTCATGTATCAAGGTAAACTGTTAGAGCTATTAATTTATACTAATTAATTTGTACTCCATAAACAACAGATCAGTTACAATACAGCCAGTACAGCTCAGTTATTTAATTCATTAAAGAAAACAAGAGTAAAAGGCAGCATCCATCTACTTATAAAGCATTATTTGCAGAATTTAAACATTTTCATACTCCACAGTAACAAGTGAACACAAAAATGCAATACAAAGACATGTGATGTACGCCATGTATACAACACTTAACGTGACTGCTAAGTGTTTGGTATCATTTTACCTTTGAAAAATGAAGGTTGCCAGTGAACAGCATACACCCAGTTTTCATGACCAGCCAACACAGACTCCAAAGCAGTTGCATATGTTGTATCAGTATCTACCACAAATCAGAGAAAAGCATATTTCGTTCTAAAAGCCAAGGAAGACCAAGTCATTTCTGGTATCTTCAGTGAAAAAAAATCAACTGCTTTCATCATCTGCCAGTATCTCAATAGCCTATTAACACTGAACAGCTCCTTGAAAGGCTGCTTTGCCACAAGCCTCAAGTACCAGCCTGACACTAAGAGGTCACTCAGAGTGGCAGCACAGATTTCCTGGAGAACTCTCAAGCAGTTTTGAAGTAAATGCTCTGACAGTGGCTCTACCCCTACTCTAAATCATATTTACATCTCCAAATGACTGTATATAAAAGCATTAAGATACTTCAAATGATGAATCAGGATTTGCAGCAAGTAGCATGAGCACTTTTTACACGTAACATCATGCAAATTTCATTATATTACCTAAATTGGCTAATAATTTACCTCACAATGTCAGCATTGCAACCCTCTGATGTTACAGTGCTCAAACAGCATGTTAAACGACCATTAAGTAATCCTGTATACACTTACGGGTTCTCTCCAGTACTTTCCTAAGATTTAAGTAATTGTAGTAACCCTTAATGTATTGAATTTGAAAGAAAATTAAAGGTATGCTATTAAACTGGAGGAGAACTGCAGAACAGCTTACCTCCCACAGACAAACATATCTCCTACGTACTGCACTTAGAATATGTGTAACAATGCATGTTGGTATTAAGCTCTCTCCCTGCTTTACCATTTTTTGTAAAACATAATTAACTTTACATAGGCATGGCTTTAAAACAATAACTCCACTTTTTCTAACAGCAGAATAAAAATAGCAGTCAAACTGCTCTCAGATTCTTTAAGTACAAGAAAAAAAAAAAAACAAATTAGATGGTAACCACCACCTTGCTAGCTCCCCTGAAACAACAAACAGATACATGAGTGAAAAGCTGTGCAAGAGAATTTTACAGCTATTACCTACCTTTGACAGTAAAAGTATTCTCTTTCAGTCTTATGGAATTATCTTCAGTTTCTGGAAGTTGCTTTGATTTTGTACACACTTTCCAAATCCTGATCAAGCAATCCTGAGAACAGCTTGCTAAGAAAAGGTCTTCACCTATTTGGTTTAAAAATAAAATAAAATAAAAAAAATAGAGCTATGTTTTCATTGTTTTTCCAACCACTGCCGTGGCTAATCTACCATCTTTCCAAACATGCACTACAGCATTATCCTAATTATTCTTATTGTACACAGCATTATAAAATGCTATTGTAATTCAACACCAATTCACTCTCCCCTTTCAAACTCTGCTAGTTTATAACACACTGACTATGGACACTTCCCTACTTAAAAGATATGGAAGGCATGGTAAATACTGTACATACTTTTCCCTACTACTTGTGGCCTTCACTCTCAAAATTCTGACACCTTCAATACTGTTCAAGAACTTCTTTCTTCCTTTTCTTTTTTCAGGGTTGTAGCATCCTCTAATTCCTTCTATTTCATTTTTTGCTACTGCAAGAACTATTTGATTAGTGAACATCCTTCTCCTCTTAATTTCCTTCTCTAAAAAAAAAAGAGGGGAGAAGAAAAGTACCATTTCCCTCTTTGAAAAAGCAGCCAACTCTTCCTCACTCAGATACAGACATTTGCATATTGAAAAGGACAAGCTGCTAAAAGTCCTAGTTGTTTGCACTGAGGTACCAGTCAGGTAAACGTACTTGAAGAAAGCAGAACAAAATGAGGGATGCAAGTAGTCTGTAATACTACAGTAGCCATAATTTTGATAACTAAAATATAACTGTAGTGTTAAGTTTAACAATTCTTATGTTTTAACAGGACACAAACTTCTATCTTGATTTTTAGTATCTGTCCCACCACCTCAGAACAAAAAAATCCGACAACCACAAAAGCTTAGGTGTTAACAGTGCACCAAAGCTACTTGTTGGAAGGATAAGACAGTAGTACTGTCATGAAACCAATATTCCCCTTCACTCATCTTTCATACTGACCACAGGCTGCCCATTCAACGCCTCTTATCCAATCTTCATGGCCAGGGAGTATTAACATTTTCTGAAACTGAATAAAAATTCCTGTTACATCATCGAAATGCACTCAATTTACCACATATGTATCAGTAATTAGCTTTAGACTTTAAAGTCTTTTACATTTACAGCTTCTGTTATTTGAAACTGGAAAAATAAGCTCCTTCTATGGATTGTAATTTGCCAATAGATTCTGAATATGCCTTTTTGGGTTTGCCACCACCGGGTAAACATTATGGCACTTCCCATATATAAGCAGGTGCTTATACTCAAGAGGGTACAGTCTCCCTATGATACTGGTTTTTGGGGGTTTTTTAATCAAGCTTATAGTGGTACACAAAACATAATGCAGGTATGACATGGTAAATAATTTCTATGTGAAGTGGATGCAACTGCAGATGATGCAAAAAATGAATACAGGTAAAACCAAATGTAAAAAGAAGAGTAGACGTTTTGAAATTATTTCAATAATTAATTTGCAATACAATACCATTAAGAAGAATTACTTAGTGGGGGGAAAAATATTCTCTATGTTTCTTAAGATTATTTACTAAGTTTCTAAGGAAGGTATAGATCAAGAACTGTATCTGCTGATGGTAAACTGCGTGAACACAGGCTCAAGAACAGAGAAATGCAAACTCAGTCCAGATTCCCTTTTAAGAACTTTATTAGTAGCATATTTTCATTCGTAACATATGTAGTATTATTATTTTAGATTTTGATTCAGACATGGTACAAGTGTTGACTGCTTACTTAGCACTTAAACCATTCATATTTTTCTTTGCCCAGAAAAAAGGCTATTTCCACATCATTTCTGGATCCCAAATTAACTTAAAATGTCTGATATGACCATTACAGTTAAAACGTTAGTGTAGTTTAGTATAAATAACTATCATATTACTTCTGGCATTGTATTCTGCTGAAACCCTTTCCTAGTTAAGATCAAATGACAGCCTCTGCTATCAGCAAGACTGCAACACACACACAAAAAAAAAAAAAAAAGCCTTTCTCAAAATTTCTGTCTTTGGCTTCAGAGGAGATGGTGAGCAACAGTGATTCACCCAATTTGTATGAGAGAAACATACTCAGAAATTACTGCCTCTCTTCGATCCGACATTC